GAATATATAAATATTAAAAATAATAAAACGCAGAATAGCAATGTGATAGAAGAATTTAGAACGCGAATGTTTGGCCCTGAACTGACAGTTGATGAAACTTCTCGCTTTATACCGCCACTTCCGTTTAACGGATACGTAAGACAGACAAAAAAAGTAAGAAAAAAGGACAAAGTTATAGATTGCAACTTAGGGGACGATAAACATCTTATTACCGATGTACCTGTAGAATTTTTTCCGTGTACGCTTTCATTGTCTTTTCTTAGTTTCGAGGAAAGAATTCAATTTGATAAATTTAGTCAGTTCTTCGCGAATGATTATCACGAGAAGCGAAATGTAAATTTACACAAATCATTACAATGCAACTCCTCTTTCGATGGATCAAGGAGTTCATTATCAAGACGTAGCAAATCAAATACGAATTCGAAAGTAAGTTCAAGAAGTTGCACACAAGTACAACAATCAGATAACTTAGAAGAAACCATCAGTACTGAATACGATGAAAATGAAGAAAATACGTGGGATAATATAATTCTGCCAAACAACGCAACTTTATTAGGTTGGAAAAACTTGCTTGTTTGGAAATTGTTGTACGAATGTGAAAATGAATTTGACGCATCCGATGAATCTAACGAATTGTCATCGGAGAAACAATCGGAAGAACGTGCTGAATCTGAAGACGAATGTGAAAGTGCTGAATACCAGCTGCTACGAACGCGCCTCTTAAAATTATTCAAATTTCCTGTAGGTTTGTCAAACACTATATTAGAAATAACTAAACCAGACATATTTTTAACAAACGAGGAACAGCATCCCGTTCATGAAAACACTTCAAGAAAAAGAAAATTTGTTAAACGTGTATCCAAGAGAAAAAAGGTAAAAAATAACGATGTCTTTTGAAAGCGATTTTCAATTAAAGTCAATCTTAATCAGAAAATCATTCTAATTTAAATCTCGCAAGATATCGAACACACAAATGTAAAAAATTACATTTATTTATGTGTAAACATTACATTTTATTCTGTTTCTCATTTTTATATCAAAGTAAATATAAAACTGGTTTTTTTATTTCAAGTATTTTAGTTTATTTTAGTTCATTTCATTACATAACTGTGATTAGTGATAGTGGTGGTCTGAAAAGTATATGTTTACGTTTGCACATATGCATTTAGAATATGTATACATATGGACATTACAAACTATGAATGTAATATATATCATACAACTATAAATGTAATATAAAGTTACAGAGTTATAGATTTTTATGGAAAGGTCATAAGAGTGTGGCCACTGAATCATGTAGAAAAATGTACTTTTATCTAAACTTATCTACTTACACAAGCTATGTAAATAATCTCAAGAAACATATAACTCTGTAAAAAGACATTAGAAAAAATGCAATAGCAATTATGTATGTAAGAAAATATGTTTTGCATATAAAAATGTGTCATATCTTGTTTTTATCACTTTTTCTTTACTTTTTATTTTTATGTATAATAAATGTACTTTTTTTTATTACTGTCATCCTCGAAAATCGACAAAATTAGCAAAATTAAATAATCAAGCATCAATTATAAATTATATCACATATCTCTTGCAGTGACAAATATCACAAAATAATAAAATGGAAGTTATTTTAACAAAGTGAAGAAAACAAAATATAATTCGAGCATATATGGATATATCAGGTCTTCTAGTAAATATTGATTCATGTAAAATAATGGGGTCTTTTTTCTAGTTTTTTTTTATTTTTATTAAGAATCAATATATTTTAGTAGAGTTTTATTGAATGTGTGTAATCAGACACATCTGTAATGGTTAATATTGTCTGATCTATTAGAAAGAAGAAATGCAAATGTATATTTTACATGCAAAAAGTACCTGCATATCCAAGTTATATTGCAAGCAACGTTAGTTTATATATATATTTTACAGCTTGCATTCTATTTCGTTAACACTCATATTTTTTTAGGTTTTAACTTTTTATGTTTTTATAATGATTATCGCTCGATAGCTATTTCTTTTTTGCCACTGGTCTGTCATAATAACCTGCTACGATTAATGTACATCCGGCTGTAAAAACACCCCATAAGAGTAGACTCGCCTCTACGTTACAAACCGACCACCTAAGCTTGTCCAAAATTAACTTCAGTGGTTCGGCCTTGATCTTAAAACCTGGCTTTTCTTGAAGAATCTTCAATTTTGTCAGATATTCGATGAGTGGCTGGTGATCTTTACTGAATATTGGAAAATATTCACCCACTTTTTCTCTGGTCCACCAAGCTCGAGTACTCGATCTGTAATTATAAATAATGGAGTCTGATGAATAAGTGGCAAAAACATTATAAATTTGATATATATTGTGTGTTCTAGTCAAATAGTTAATGTATAATATTGTATATATTTATCTCGTAAAATCTCACACTTACGTTTGACTCCACGGCGTATAATGGTAGTGATAAATACTAGCTTTAATATACTTCGGAGGTTTATTTTTGAACGGACTCTCAACAGTATTTATTAAATCCAGTACCTCGGATTGCCCATTCAATAAACGATAAGCTAGCGACATTACAAATGGATTTTGATGATATGTACCTAAAGCAGCGAACCACATTTGCCAATCGAGGCGAGGTTGATGAGGTGCTGCAAAATATTGTTAAGTTTTTTTTACTTTTTGTAACGTCAGGCAACAAATAAAGCAAGAAAAGAAATTGTCTCACCGACAAATGGTAAAGAGTTGTTAACATTTCCAGCCTTGTATAAAAATTCATAATCCTTCCAAGGTCCATCAATATCGTTACTCCCTTCTATTATAACTTCTGGCCTACCGTCGGTTCCCGTCATACGACGAAATAGCCCATAGCTGTTCACTAAACGCAGATGCTCCACCTTGTCCTGTACTTGTTTTATTTGGGCTATTACCGTCGAATTGGTCACTGGAACCAAACTGGTATAATGTGGTACCTGTAAGCAAATATATTTTCAAATATCTTGCGTTTTATATGCGTGTAATGTGTTTTACATACGCTTTGTATAAGAATTTTTAGTAATTACAAAGCTTGAGGCTGATTGTTATACTTACAAGACTTATAACAAAAATAAAGAGTACAGGTACAATGTAGGAAACTGTAATTAACGCTGTTGTTATTTTATTATACATTCCTTTTGTGAGCATGGAATTAGTTAGAGAGTCCGCTATCGTGAATACGAGTGATACTGCGCCGACATATATAGAAATCGGTACCGCACGTTGTATAACAAAATCAAATTCTTCTTGTGTAAACGCTGTAAAGAAAAAAACAGTAATGATTAGTACAAATGCTAGACATTTCAATTATTAATGATGAAATATCAATAAATACCAATGTTAGATTTAATGGTAAAGTCATCTGTTATCTTGAGACCGAAATAAATATATGCTCCGTACAATATTCCTCCATAAACCAATATGCTTATTAGTGTAGACAGATGATTCAAAATATGAGATGCATTTTTTTGAGATCTTTGTTTGTAAAAGAATTGATCGTCCAATAAGGATATGCATAAGCAAATAGTTAGGAAATTAAAGAAAGCATAATTTCCAGTTGCAATAATGCAAATTTGTAGAAATAGCTGGAAAAGCAATATTAAATCATAAATATTAAATATTTAGCATAATTTTATGTACATTGTAGAGCTTATTAGAGTACGTACCTGTGAATAAAATGCAATTAGTCTCACTTTTCTATTTGGGAAGAAGAATAATAGTGGTATTGCAATCTCAATAACATATGTAAAGACAGTAGACAATCGAAGAAACCATGTAGGCAAATGGTGGGCGTACCACGCCAAAGGAGTTGGTATACATTGAGATTCAAAATGGATATTTAAAGCTATGAAACATGAGAATATATTGTAATTAATATTCATGTAACTAATTTTACAAATTGTATTCGATAAAAATTGTTTTACCATCTAATTTCCACCACACTGGACATCTCGAGGAAAGTTTTACTACTCCACTGGCAAACATGAGACGGAAAAGTAGCCAGCGTATGGTCCAAAATGTTACTCCATCACTTGGAGTACTTGACCGTTTCGCACGACGAGGATACCAAAATGGTGCTATAAATATACATAGAAATCCAGTTTCCAATAACAGACTATCCCTGTAAAAATTGAAGACATATAAAATTAAATTAAGTATTTAAATTATTCCTAATTATATAAATTATTCATAAAAATAAACATTAGAATAATATATGTATGTAAGGAAATATTTCGCAAAGCATATTTAGTTTAGTTTATATTTTCCTTCTTCCTATTGAATATCTTTGAATATCTTTGAATATCTATTGAATATCTTTTATTTTTTCAATATTTAATATTTATTTTACATAAACTTCAAACGTTTTAATATAATTTAATCATCTGAATGTTACAGCAGTTAGCAATAATTATTAAATTGAGTAATATCAATCTTATCAAAGAGAGATAACTGTTGATGTGTGACATTACTCAATTTAAACTTATATATAAACTCTTACATATAAGCATATGCAAAATATTATAAATAAATTGATTATAATAGAATACATTTATAAATAAATGTTAAAAAATTAATAATTATCATAAATCTTAAAATAATTTTATGATAGTTAAGACATTTGAAAAAATATGCTATATAAAGATATGAAAATTACAAAACTTACCATTGAAACCATATAAACGTTTGACCAATCTGGTATAAAGAAAAGTATAGAGACCATAATCCTGCAAATACAGGTGCAATACAGAATGTCTGTGTAACAAATCTGCAATAAAACATAATTTTAATCATTAGTAATGCTGTTATATTTTAATGACAAAATCTAAAGAGTACGTGATTACGTAGTTTTATAGTAAAAGTATTCCTTTAATATTAATAAAGTTTAATTTTCAAATGTTATATACCCTATAAAAGACAAAACAGCTCCAAGAAGAGATAATACATCCAGCATATATTCTACATTTAAGCCCAAGTATGGCGCAAACCATAACAATGTTGGTTTTTGCTTTAGCTTATTAAGTAACGTTGCACGTGCTTTGAGATCCACTTGAGTTCTAGCTGGCAAGATTCCATTATCGCCATACAATCCTGTTTTGTGAAATTAAATTAGTAACATTGCAATATATTTTGAATCTCTTAAGAATAATTCATACACACAATAAAACTTACTTAATAAAATTAATTTAATACTACAGAAAATTGTATTCTAATATTCAAGTTGATTCAATCTCTATATTAAAATTTCATTGAAAAGATTACATTTGAGAAATGTAATCTTTCGATACTAAAGTATAAAAGAATTAAAAAATTGTATGTAATATTTATCTGCCGCATTATCAATGAGTATTATTAATCAACATGCTCTCAGTATCATTTTTTTATATGGCAAATATCTTTCTCTGTAAAACTTTCTCCGAGTTAAAATATCTTGCGAATAATAAGGAGAAAAAGAAAATCTCGTGCCATCGAGAATGCAATCCTTACGAGAGAAAATAAACATGCTACAGTGAGTGTTGATATACTCGAGGTGTATACGTACCCGGAATCTGTATGTAAAAGCTGAGGAATGCGAACAGATATATAATGCAGATTCCACGCAGGAATAAATTGCGAGTGTAGCGCACTTGCGTCATGATCGCATTTGATACAGCCTCGTGTTATGTTAGGAAGTTCACATTTACTTGCAATAAATAAACGCGCGGCTAAAATAATGGCGGCAAACGCTGCGACGCACACACATCGGACACGACAATGCGAAGTGCTGCCCACTTGCAATATACATATATAGCGACACGCAGGATCAAGCAGGAATAGCAGCAAATTAGTAGCGCTACCTACAAATGCAGGGGCAACTAAATCCGTAAAATATAAATATATATATATAAACGCACACACGCCTTCCGTATTTTTACGTTAGGCGCAAAAGAGAAAGCGCAAGTAGGGAATCGAAACAAATAGAAAAAATCGCGAAAATACAGAAGGTGTCCTCCGTGTCTTTTCACAACGGCCTGAGTGTTTTTCCGAAGCACGTTGAGCAACTTCCAATTGTCCGCGTGCCGCCGCGACCAATCGCTGTTTCCCGAAAAAGATATGGAAGAAGGAGAACGCAACTGAGCGTACCTCGCTGTGAGCGAGTACGAGACGCGAGTTAACGTTCCGACAGTTCATGTGCCATACTAACAGGTAACGTTAGCTAATTAATTTGCGATCGGATATTACTGAACGACGAAGGAGGCGAAGATCAAAGCGAACGCGTCGCCAATGCGTTCAGTGGCGAGAGTAGAGCCGACGATCGAACTGGGTCAATAAGTTGCATCCTCGGTAGGATTTAACATATTCGTAGAATATTTATATTTTCGGAATACCAGGAAGTGAATCGTCATATGTTCGAATAGTTCTAATCAGCTGATTTCCAATATACAGCGATCAATCAATCAGCGCTTCGCGACGACCCTCGCGCGAACAGCTGTTGCGATCGTCTGCGCTTGTCGTGTTTCGACAGTGACGTTCCAGCTTATTGTTAGTTTTTCGAAATTGCGAATTGAAGAATGACTCGAGCGACTAGTTATTCCAGGAAATAAGCTTTATACTCTGCGCTCGTTATGAATAAATAACTTCTAATTTTCTGTATTTGAGGAGTAGAGATGGAAGTTTGACTAGTTATAAATTATTACTAGAAAAAAATATTTTTATATTAATATCGCTTATTAATATTAGTAGAGCGCAGATTTAAATTTGGCGTGACTCCCCACTTTTTATCGTATAATTCATTGAATTGTAGTCACTTCCGGTGTTTTCTTGAAAAGATAGGACTAGTTTCCGGATTCTAAGGTGACATCTGTTTTAGTTTGGTGAACTAACTAAAATGACCTAACCTTCCTGAATGCAGGACGACATTGTAGTTTCCAGAGTAAGCCAGCTGACGTTGAAAGTTTTCCAATTTTTGTTCAAGGGATCCAAATTTTACGGCCAAAGTTGTAAGGCTAGAAACCTCAAACCGTGCAAGGGGAAAAGAGCAGCTCTGTGTTTTAATTCCTAGAACAGATCAATCATCATTAAAATAAATAAAAAGAAGAGGCTACAAAATGCAAGGTATTGGCGTAGCCGAACGACTTGGTTTAGGACCGGAGGTACGCGAACTCAAGCTTGGATCCAGCATCACAAGCAACACCTCAAAGTTTCATACTTTGAAATGTAAGTACAATAACTGGAGATGATTAGCTAAGATTTTGTACATTTTATTTCGCCGATGAGAAGTTGGTAAGAGGAATGAAGAATTAAAGAAATAAAGAATTAAAGAATTTTTCGGACTTGAAAAAATACGCGACACTTTTAAAATAATGATAGCATATGATTTTTTCAGATGATTTTAAGCCTGCAAGCGTGGATGATTCAAAAGTAGCTAAAGTCGATGTGGGATCAGATAACACAGTAACAGTTACAGTGCCACATTTGGATGGTGCTGGCACACCATACACTGTGTTCAAAGGTTCCCAAAGACCTTACAATAAAGAATATGTTTTAATCATTGACAAAGCTACTGGCGAGATTACATTGGAGAGGCTGACTGCAAATATTCAAGTTAAAAAAACTCGGTATGTCTATTATATCAATTGCTTGTGCTGTGCTAACCTTTATTACGACTTTCATGTCATTTGCAGAACGGAACAAAAGCGAAGTGGCAATAGCTCCATGCCTGTAGAGATTAAAAAAAGCCCTACGGATGGTAGGGCAAATGGAAAAACCAAAGTTATCAGTGGAAAAAAGAAAGAACCTTTAGTGCAATTAAATTCCAAACAAAGTCCACAGCGGACATCGCCATATCACAAAAGAAGTCCACCCAGTACATTTACTCATAGGTATGTGTCATTAAATATTTTCAGTTTTTTTACAGCTTCAGCTTTGAACTATAATGCTTTGCGCACAATAAAAAATTTTTGGAATAGGAATAAATATTAGGAATAGGAAGAGCAATTTGAAATTATTACTTCCTAATTTTTCATTCCTAATTCATGATGCTTTGTTTTCTGCTTAAATTTTTTATCTGCAACATTTTAGTTTTACTTTTTTACAATTTTTTAATATTATTAAATATAAACTCCAAAGTTATTCCAGTTATTCACCTCAACAACCGTTAGGTGGACAATCTACGTTGGCCAGTTTGCCAATGATCGGCGATAACGATGATTTTGTATTATCTACACCAATAATATCTACATCTTCTACGCAAATTACAACTCCTGTTTTAGTACCAAAATCAACCAACTTAGAAAGCGATTCAAGCTCAAATAGTAGTTCAAATAGTTCGGACAGTTCGAGCAGCGATTCGGAAACGGAAAATACATCGACAACTAACGGTAAATAGAAAATATATAAATTTTATACACTACTTTTTTTATGCTTATTGAAAGTGTTTGATTAAATTCTAAAGTAATGTTTAAAAATTCTTTAGGTCAATTGAACGGTATTACTGCCTCACCCACATTATTCATGCCAGACAACCTCTTAAATGACGATCTGCAGTTATCCGAATCAGAATCGGATTAATATGTTAACCTTGCCTTGTATGCCTTACCGTTTATTGTCCGTTGTGAGATTATTTGGTGACACTCGTATATATGTGCAAATGTATATTATTGAAAATAAAAATATTTAATTTTTAATAATTCTATTATTTTACGTTATTATCATTATTTATCTCAAATTATACAAATTTTAGAGATTGTATAAAAGAGTTACTTACAAAAAATAAAGTTTGAAAGCTTTTGATTCTTCGATACATCGATAAAACATGGACTCATTGTCTCAATTAAGAAATCTTTCAATTCATGGCTGTATCAACTGCAATATATACAATTATGTTTTATAATTCTAAAGCATGACAACTTGAATCTAACTCTGATAACAAGAAACTACCAAGTGCATTAAAAATATTTATTTCACATAAATATGTATTACATACTTATATAAATATGTGTGAAAATATACTTAATCTTATATTGAATATTTTGTTTTAAATTGTAGGTACTCATTTTCTCGCGAATATTTTGCTAATGTATAACCAATAAATAATTTTACCGATGAGAAATCCATTAACATGTATCTATTTTTTTCGTTCTACGAAAATATAAAGCTTTTAGCATAAATAACACGTAAATTAAAATAAATAGCTCTTCTTTTTCTAAAAATTACATACTGCGATCTACGCTTTCTTATACTTGATAGCTCTGAAAATCTAATACTAGCCTAGCCAATTGACTACGTTTACCCAAGTGATTATTCCTAAGTTTAATGCAGCTCTTATAAATATTGTCATTGGAAACGCCTTCACAATTAACATCTTTGTATTTTATCTTTAGCGTCGGCTCTATCGCGCGAAGTATATGCATATCGCTGAAAGATACGTACATCTCAAACAAAGAAGTTACAGGACTGTGCTCGGAAAGTTTCAGCAATGCAGCAATATCCTTATCAGATCGTACTAATGGAATGCTCGCCTCGACTGTCTGCCGCACTGAAATACATTTCAATGAAAAAATGGGATATTATTAAATTTTATTCATAATAGAATTAACCTCGTAAAAAGTAATTGATATATAAAATTATATGCTCCGTACTTGCGTTATAATCTTTGACATAAAACGCGAGATTATTATAGTTCTGTTCATCGTATTTCCCGCAATTGCTATTGACGTCCACTTCTTCGTGGGGCGCTTCACTCGTGTAAATTATGTCCGGATGGAATTCGATGAACGGAATCGGGCTGAATACTTGATAGCGACTGATGGTGTTCATGCGAACCTGAAAGAAATCAAGAATTAAATCGAGATGATTGTTAACACACGTCCGAGCAACATACGCTTACCCTGTTTAAATAATCTACTTTCAATCTTGTTCCCATTTCAATAAGAAGAACCAAACTTTCCGATGAGAATTTCTTCGTGCATAAATCAGTCACGGCGATCTGTAACATCGGATCCAAATTCACAGAAGTCACATTGACTGGCAGTCGTATTGAAAGCCAAGTGATTTTAGATTGATCCTTTTTATATTTTTCGTTCAGCATCAATATGTATTTTTTCACTTCGTAAAAGACATCGTCCTTGCCTTTCGACGGCGAATCGAAATTGTACAAAAGAACCTATAAAAAATAAATTTAATATACTTATGACTTCATGCTATATTTATACTATAATTTTGTATATTATCAAAATGTGCAACTTGAACTGACCACCATGAGAAAAGTCTTGTACTTTTTCTCCATACAATCTTGCGCGTAGTGTTCCATGAAATTCAACGCATCTTGCTTTTTTCTCAGATCGATGGTGACGATTACATTAATTCTCGTGTTTTCAGTCACGTACGGTACGGGCATAATTTCTACTTTTCCCAGCGGCTTACAGATCTCGATTCGCTTTATTACTTCTTGGCCCGTGGTCACTTCGTTAAATGCCACGTCGAGTATGTAATCCATACCTCTGGATGCGTCAAATCTTTGATAGCCGTTCAGCAGTCTTTGGAAACTTAATTTGTTATTGTATTTGTTTATAATACTATTTACCGCTGTATTTATTACATAATCGATGTCGGATTTCGTATCACCCTTCAGCTCTTGAATATTAATAAAATCAGTCTCAAAGAAAACGTGTGATTCGTTGAAATACGACCAGCGCAACACGTCGAAGCGCCCTAAGGGCCTATTTCCAGGTTGGTTTCCAATGGGCCACGATATATTACGTTGATTCGACGGACCCAAGTGCGCAGCTGTAGAAATCATCTTGCGTATATCAGTAATCTGCTTATGAACTTTGATAGAATTCATCTGAAAGCAAATATTACATGTTAATCAAATTTTATCGAAATACATTGTAACTCGGACTGTACGCTATTTCAATGGACTTACCGCAGCGAAATACATATTGAATTTATAAATGAGCATGTGGTCGTAAATAGGATACACAGACAGCGAATTTTGGAAGTCGCTTTGCTCGGTCATCCGAATAAAATGCTTTTCAAAATTAAACGTGGGTTTTAATTGTGTGAACGTGAAATTTCGCCCTTGTACTCGGTTGGTGCAAGGCATAGAGGTGGAATGGAGGATACAGCGACCAAGATTAACGTCATCTGAATCCGAGTATGCATTCTTCACACACCAATCCAAATTGTTTTTGATTTCCTGTATAACAGAATTACTCAGGAGAATACCGGATTCTGAAAGGAATTTAAAGCAATTGTTAATAAAGTAATTCAAATTATCTTGATTGTGAATAAAAATTTCTTACCTAGAGAACAATAAGTATCGATTTCACTTTGAACACCTATGTGAACATTTTGGCTCACACTTATTTTATTCACAAATTCTTTTAGGCCTCTCGCATTTATGTAACTTACATCTTTAATTAGAAAATAATAATCATAGCTTTCTAAATAGTTATCAATGATGTACTTTATAGCATGAAATGGCTTCAAAATGGTCCTCGTGTCGGTAAATCCTACTATTCCTGGGAATGAAACGTTTGGCTTGGTCCCTTCCGGTATGGAGATAAAATAACGAATTTTGTCTACTATGTGAGCAATTGTTTTGTTCAACGCTACATCTCTACTGTGCAGATGCTCTCGGCTCGTTATGATTCCCACAAACAATTTATCTCTGATTCCCAGCTCCGTCGAGTAATATCTTGGACGCACAAACGATTTCCTCGTTTTCTGCACCTGTTGCGGTTTGCTTTCGGTGTTTATCCTCGGCTCATAAGGATCTACATCTTCCAAAGTATTCAAGGAATGATCAAACGATTCCATTATGTCGTGTTGTCTGTCAATATCAATTGGTATCAACAGCAGACTGAAACTTAAGCCCATGCATATACCCATGATCAAGTATGCATTGCTCCAACAGAGTGAATATAATATTTTAAATAATGGTTTCATCTTGCTGTAGTTGATAAATCTGTTCTTTCAAATCCTTTGCTCTTAAATTATTGCAATTTGAACTAATGTTGTATTACATGGGATTTGCAGTTCTCTCTTGATTTCCATACATTGTTTCAGAATATGTATAAAGTATTCTGAAGAACATAACGTAAAGTATGACAGTATCTAAAAAGAAATAAATAAATGATTAGTATAGATATGTCACTTACTGTTTCAATGTAATTAGTTTAAGCCATTTGTAATAAAGTATTAAAAATTGCTATATGTTACTCACATTGCTAACTTGTACATATTTGCCTACCACAATCCCATGATAACCTTAATTTTGCAGTGCAGTTCGAGATTTGAATACTTGTGCATTCCTTTTGTTTGGCCTTGAATCTTCACGGCTATCAATTCACAACCGTTTGTATTACGTGACTGATTTGTTTGCATAACAGATGTATATAGACAGATTCTATTACCACATAGCGCACACGTCACATCAGCAATTTTCGTATGGTACAGTTGTATAAGGTTGTGTAATCAGTGATGATGCCAGATTTGAGACGCAACAGCAAGCAGCTGTGTCGCACACAATCGCAAGCAACGTACATGTGAGTTCCGCGTTTCGCATTACAAAAGAACAGATATACTATTTCTATTTCCTTAAATTTTTAAAAATGATTCTAAATCTTTATCCTTTTAAAATATTATTATTATAAAGTAAAATAGTAAATAGACTGTGACTCAATCATTTAGCGCCCTGCCAATATTCTGTTAAGCAATGTGCTTAAAGTTTAATGGATAATTAATCACTTGTGCAAAATAATATTGTATAAAAATTACTCAGTTACATGATGCGAATTTCTTTATTCCTCTCAATTCTTCATGCTCTTCCGCTATACAAATATTAATATCGATATTATTTAAATAAATAACAAAATATCGTTTTCATCCAGTTTCTTTCGAAACATTTTCTCATACAATATAAGAGTATTTCCATTTTACTTAACAATCTCTTTAATCTTGTTAATTAATAACTTATAATTTTTTAAATCGTTTTCTTTTTTTACTGTTACTAATATTAATTAATGAAATTTGTTTTGAGTACCGTTTTGGCATAGTTTTCGGTCGCTCGTCTACATTGAGCGTGAAATCGATGCCGCACAAAATAAAAATTAGCAAGGGTATAAAAGCCACCACAAAAATAGGGCACTTTAGATATTTAACTTTGAAACGAATTTATTCGATTTATTGAAACGAATCTATTCGAAAGTTCACGTCTATTTTAAAAATGATTACAAAAAATATACGCAAATGCAGACACGTTTCATGTCAGATATTTTTCACGTCGAGAGACACGACAGAGAAATATTCAGCTATCGATATTTTTCTCTAATAAAATTAATAAATAAAATGCCCATTATTCCTTCCGATGTACTAGATCTAAACGTAATTTGATCCAAAAGATCTAAGTCTAAAAGATCTAAACGTTGTGAAGATACATATTGCAATAAAATAATGTGGATCACTGCGAAGAAACAGCGGGCTATACTAGCGTGACTACTTTTCTCCTGCATTCCCGTGAGAATAGGACATCTGTCAAATTTCTTTCGGTTTTATATCGATCACTTAATTCGCACATTTCAACAAAATAGTGTTAAATTGTGTATGTCTCGATCTCATAATACTATTTTGTAATGCGTTGAATTGTAGCTGGGGTGAATTGCAGAAATTAACTCGAAATACAAAATAATAAATTTTACGCTAGAAAAGAGAACTCACAATTTTATGTTAAAAGGGAGAGAGAGAATATTTAATGAGAGACTAGAAAGTGGGGATGAAAGAATTTTTCTTGCCTTTCTTCGTGTCAGACGCGTTTCAGTGTTAGCACAAAGATGACGCGTTTCAGAGTTGAGGATAGATATTTCAGTTTTAATCGAACTCTTTTATTGACAGTTGGTTTATGGCCTTATCAAAAATCGAAACTTGCTCAACTTCACTTAATCTGCTTTATTAGTATTTTATCTAGCAATATTATATTTCAGGTATGTCAATATTTTTCTATATTTTTATGTACGTTATAGAATGTTATGTTTATGTATATATGGAATGTTTTATAAATTTATTGTTGGTTTGCAAATTTTTAACCAAGTTTACATTACAACTTTCTGACGAAAACACTAATTTAAATTTTACTTTGTAATCACAATTATGAACAACTTCTTTTTAATATTGCGTGTACAAATAGTTAATAATCTGATATTTACAGTACACATAAAAAACAAAGTTTTTTATTATTATTTCAAAAAATGATTATTGCAGCTTACAACATTTATAACTACAAAATTTTCTTCAAACCTCCTTATAAAGGTTCTCTCTTCCGCATGTGTTTATATTAGCTTACTGATAAAATATAATTCGTTTTGCGTTAATAGCGGAACGGTAAGTTCATTATCTATTATATTCACTCTAATAAATATTAACAGAGTTATGAAAAGTATGTATATACAAATCCAAATAATCTTTTCGACACTTTTGTCAGATAAATAAAAATTTGTTAATAGGTAAAATCCTTAATGGAACAACTTCAATGTATCTATAATAATATAAAACACAGTAACGAAATCGCCATTATAGAAACATACGGAAATATCGCAAAACGTTATACAGTTGCACTTACAAGTAAAATACTATCCTTTAAACTCGTTTTAAAGATTAAGCTTATTAATACAATATTTATACTTATATTTATATTTATATAAATAAAAGTATTTTTAATTACACGTAAGTGTTGTTAAAATATTGTTAAATTAACTCTTAAATTTAAACGCTTCAAAAACACAAGTGCACTACTAGGAAATATTATGTATTACAAAATACTCATTTATAATATTATTTAGTGTTAGTTAGCTTCGGCGTATCTATTATTATTATCGCTCAGTTCTGGCCAGACCTCTATGATATTACTTTATCGGTAAACCAGTCTCGATCACATCATTTGTTCATTATGACTGAATATTTTATCGATAAAGAAAGATATTTCCATCTCCTGCTACTTCATTCAACTGCAGGACTCTGCATAGGCTTAGTTGCTCTGTTAGCAACAGGAGCAATGCTTATTGCATTTTTACAACATGCCTGTGGAATGTTTAGAATTGCTAGGTAAAATGATAAATATTAAGTTTTAATGAAAAATAACTTTTTAGTTAATATAATTATAATTTTTAGTTAAAACAATTGCAAAAACAATATGCCAACTATATAAATATCTTAAATAATTGACTACATAAATAGAAGAGCTACCAAATTATATTTAACTATAGTTTGTTTCATATTAATTTAAAAGTTCTCTTTTTCCAAAACAAATATTCAGAAAGATCAATAAATCTTTAAGCAAATGAATAAAGTACATATGTAGGTCCATTAAAAATTTCTCGGAATAAAGTATAAATGTCATATAGATAGAATTGATAGAATTAACATATTTTGTAAATTTGCAGTTATCGCATCGAACATGCAATACAAATTCATACACTACAAGATATCATTCTGCCCAATAAAAAAATAATTCACAAACGGATAGTTCGTGCCGTAGATATACATCGCAAAGCTATGATGTCGGTATTTATCTATAATATTTCTAAACTAATAATGTATGTATATATATACATATATACAATAAAACTTCTTGTTGCTAAAGGTTCTCTAAATATTTGATAACTGAATTTGAGATGTCATTCATGTTATTAATAATGTTCGGAGTGATTAGTTTGAGCTTCAATATTTTTGAGGTAAGTTCTATTTTTTATTTAGTAGTAAATAGTTTTCATTTAAAAGTAAATAGATATCTAAACAAATTGTATAATACTTTTTAAAAAACAATAATGTCGTTTTCATTGGCATATTTTATACGACATTATATTACAACTGTGTTTCCTATTATTACACATGTTATACATATTTTTATCAAAAAAGCCTGCCAAAAATAGTTTTTATATTTGCAAATATTTTTTTATAATTTAAGTTATAGTTATGATGATTATATCATATATATATATATTGTAGTATAAATTTTAATTTATATAAATTAAGTTTACAGAAAAATTAATCTCAATACTAAAATTTGTGTATTAGGTTTTTCAGATCATAACTTCTACACATAATATTGAGAAACTTTTTATGCTTGCTATAATTACATTTATCAATGGTTTATACATGTTTTTAGCCAATTTTATTGGACAAGAAATTATAAATCATAATAACCACATATTTGTCACTGCGTAAGATATATATTTACGTTGCATATTCATAACGCTTTAAAAATCCGTAATAATAAAAGTAAAGATTTATACAATACGCAAATATCAATATAGATATAATTATTGAGATTTATTATATGATAGATATAATATCCGATGGTACATAACTTCTACTCATACGCAAAAACTAATACTGCTGATCTTGCAAAGAGGCAACAAACTTTTTGGGCTAAATGTCGGTGGAATGTTTATAGCATCATTACAGTGTTTTGCTACGGTATAAAAAATTTTATATTATATAATACATTTCAGATGTCATATTTGAGAACGTCAAGATGAAGATATGTTTGTTACAGTTAGTCAATGCATCTTTATCTTACTTTACCATCATGTATTCAATACAATGATAATAATATATATATCAATTAAAATACTACAAAAAGAGACATTAAAATAATTGTTATGTAACAATATTATTAAAAAATAAAGTCGCAAGGTTTGAGAAAAAAAGTCAAGGAGTTGATTAAAATATTATATATAACTTTATTATTCTCTAAATATAGTTAATATATAGAGAATTTTTTGTTTCATCTCTATTCATTCATACACTTATATATAATATATAAAAAATCAGTTGTACAAATATATGTACATGTAGTATTATACATATTTTTGCACACTATTTTTTACCACTTAATATGTTCACATGTCAAAATATGTATTCGTTTCACTGCTTTTATGAAAAAATATATAATAAGTATTCTAAAACATTTTTTAGCATTTATTTATTTTTATATAATTATTTTTTATTTAACTGTTTTATAAAAACCGTAAATATAATTTATTCGACAAGATTAAGAATATTGTTAGCATTAATTTGGATTAAATGTGACTTCAGAAAGGAGGATGTTAAAAATAGGTCGATTTTGACCCATGGTGTGGAACCAAAACTACAAATGGTTTCCCTGCTGTCTATAGGAAAACAGACTTTACCACGTGATTCTACTGTATAAAATCTATAAGAAACCATTTGTAGTTTTGGTTCCACACCATAGGCCAAAATCGACCTATCTTTAACATCCTCCTTATAATATCTAATTGTCAATATGGCAGTGCTGTCAGAGCGATCATTGATGTCGTACGGTCAGAGAATAGCCGCCCAATCATTCCCTTCCTTCAGTATAAACTCCATGCAATTCTTATATTTATGCCAGAAAGACGCGTCTCCTGCAACAGAAATTATAATATCTAATTGTCAATATAGCAGCGCTATCACAGCGATCTTTGACGTCGTACG